TGTTATGCTTTTCGTCACTCTAATATGTTTGTTTCGGGTGAAAAATGTCGCGTGCAATCAGAAGCAAGTATTATTTCAGCTCTGGCTTCAACTATGCATAATAAATAAATATTTTGTTTGCAAGATCAAAATGATGAGGGTATCTGATGTAAACAAAGTACCTTTCACGGACATAATTCTCCAATCTCTTATGAAAAAAAAAATGTTGAAACATAAACTTAAATATGGTACAGCGAAAAAGATTATAACTGAATGCACAGTAAAGAGGTGAAGATGAGGCTCATGAATTGAATTTTAATTGGCATATAACATACAAATTTTCAAGCTCTCACAGCCTATTCAATATAACAAGCCACACAATGAAATCAAATTTCGGCAAACCATCTTTTGCTTCTTTTCTCGTACCAGTTCCACCAACCCAAGTATCAGCTGAGTAAAACTCACCATAATAATTTCTTGTGAAAACAACTCCATCCTCAGAAGAACTGCAAGGAGAGAGTGTCCCACAAAGGTTGCATGAATCACGACTTTAGATAATACAAAAGAAAGACCCATCTTTTGCTTCTTTTCAGGTGCTTTCTTTTCTCCTTTGATAAAGTCTAATCTTGCTTTATTTTAAGATGGTCAAGTTTGGTAGAGAGATAATAATACAGAAAGACCTGAATGAATTAGGACAAAGTAATCTTGACGTTCGTGCCGTTCAAAACACAAGCTTCCCTCATCAACGGCTGGTCTCTTGATTACTATCACGACTGGTGGTCCAATAAGAATAGTCTGATACTGAGGGAGCGTTTGAAATACGATGGTTCCAATATAAAGAAAGATAAACTTCCAGAGAGGAATTCTACTTGTGATGCTTCCAAAAAGCATATAAAAACACCGAATTGTGTTCTATTCCAAAACAATTGACGTCCACCATTACATACAATTAGATCGAGCAATGCATGAAAACAAACTAGTAATTCGCTCCAAGGACATAATTCAGCAATACTTGAACATGCGTTAGGGTCCACTGTTATGTCTGCTCTCTCATTGCAGCTTAATGCAACTACAGCAAGCCACCAAACAGGACTTGGCTAAACTTGCTTGGAACAACATGTCCATCTCATATGACTTACCTAATCCTTTTGGCGATTACAAGGGGTTACATTATCCACATCTCATATTATCTAGCAACACTTATTCACAAGCAATTATTCAACCACACTTTTTGACAAAAAGTTACAAAAATCATAAATTAGTGGACATAGACATAACAACCCAGCCATTATGTTATTGTGTTGATTACTTGCTGGTGATGACTTTCTCGATCAACTCCCTAAGTCTTGATAAATGCTCTCATCGATAACTTTCACGTTGTGTGTTATCGATTCTCTTCGACAACGTCGACCGTTCTAACCAAACTATCTTTCATTGACCAATTTTTCCGCTTGTCGATAATAACCAAAAGTTGGTCATTATTTGGATGTCTACATATGCCCATTTTAAAAGAATTGAATGATTCATCGATCATTTCATTATCTTAATATAGATAATCAAGAGTCATCTATATCCCTTGTCATCGGCAAATTTGATTCTTCCTTGCCAAATTACATCCTGAATTATTTTCCTAAAAACAATACAATTAACTGTGTTGTGGCTTATGAATTGTGCCACTTGCAACATTTTTTGCTTACTAAATCTTCTTTACTTGGAAGTACTTGGCTTTCTGTTGATTTAATTAGGCCACTTTCAGACGTAAGTCAAAGATTTGGCCCGATTTGTTGATATGAGATAAGTAAACTTGAGCGTCTGGAGCCCTAGCCATTGGACATACAAAACGCGGCCTAAAAATTTGAACTTGATGCCATATCTCCTTATCCATTATCTATATTTTAAAAATACATTTAAGCTTGTGGACTTCCGGCTTATCTATTCTTTTTTAAAGTTAATTTCAAATTAAGTGGTATTAGACAAAATTATATTCATTTCTATACCCTTGTAACTGGATTTTATTTATGTGATTTAGCATATTTACTCAGAAGCAACTAAAATAAATCACATGTGATTGCCTTTTCTCATGCCAAACACATATCATATTTCCGAGTGCTTTCACCTAAAGGCTACATCAAAGGGGATTGGATTCCCATGTAAAAAGCGTTTTAGCTTTGTCAAAAATAAACAAAGTTTAGGAAAAAAGAAAAACAGCGGGAAATGGCTTTCCAAATTCCCCGGAAAGGACGTTAAGACAGCATTCAATATCACCGTTCCTTCTTCTTTCGAGTGATTCTTACACGCTAAAATTAGAAAGAAAAAACTTCGACACAAAACCTTGCCATGAAATGGTCTTCATTAGACTGGACCATGTTTCTGTGTACTTTTCTTTTCTTTTCACCGACGCTAAAGTCACGTTTACGGATAAGCCAAAAAGAAAAGAAATGAAATCATTCTTCAATTTCCATTCAATAAGTAATGTCTTTTGTACGCAATCCAAAGGGAAGAGGCATCTCAATCCGAATCACTCAAAAATAAATTCCCTTTCGGTAGAAATATGTCGGAATCGAACCTCTCTTTCTGGTTGAAAAATGCGAGACAAAAATATAGAAAATCAACACAATTTCTTGTTAGCATCCGAGTTTCGATTGCATATGATTTCAACAATTTTCATATGAATTCCCCATTTTTTTCCTTCCTCTTATATGTTTTTTTTTTTGCTAAATTCCTTCCTCTTATATGTGTGTGTAAGTAAACTGGAGCATCTTTCTGGGTACTTTTCTGTTTCTTTTCATCGACGCTAAAGTCACATGAGCACGCGCGCACGTATATCAAATGTCTAGTGTACTTGTTCCGTGCTTACGTGATGTAATCAGAATAGATGCGATGCTAGTAAAGTATGAAAGAGGATACACTATGAGAATATCTAATATAGTTGATTGCGGTGTATGCAGATCGGTATTCATTTTGTAGGCCGTATTAGCCCACGACCTTCCTAGGGAAAAAAGGAAGTGATTGGTAATTTCAGTGCAATTTGTATCTTGCACAGAATCCAAATACATTTGTACTGCCCTGAGCATGAATATTACGCAGGTGGATTTGAATTCAAAAGGATAAAAGATCTGTAACCAGCAACGTCTGTTTCCACCGATCTTCGAATGAAGAAGGCAAATGAAGCTTCAAGCAGCAGCGGTAGTCGATGCAGATTTGCTTTGTAGCGACAAAGTTGAAAACAACCTCTTTTTGCATTCCTTCCTTTTTTTTTTTTTTAGGGATTCATTCCATTCACTTTCATTTGATTATTTTCTTTCCTTCCTCACTTCTTTTCGAAACAACCTGCAAGTCATAGGGAAATATTACTGATGAATCCTTGATGATGAACTTTATGGTCTTTTCTGAGGACTTCTATCTCGGCGATGAAGAACACCGTGTTAGAAACAATAAATCAGAGCATCATGGATTGGCCATGTTCTAATCTAAAACTAGAAAATCACAGTGTTACAAATCCTAATTTAATTGGACGAGGGAGTAATGGAAGAGGAAAATTCTAGAATAAAGGAAACGCTTCTATTATGATTTCAGGGTGTCAAAAATGAGCCCCTGCTTGCATCTGATACAGAATCTCTTCTGTGAATATAGACACACCGAGTACCTAAAAATCTAATTAATCTTCATGAGTGCTCAAAAATGGAGCCACTTCAAATGCAGGCCACCATATGATCCTACAACTGGATCTTATCAACAGATCTCTAACACTTAACACATGGATCCTCCTCGCTACCAGCGCTGATCCGTCTCCCATTTCCGCCTTGGGCTACGCGCTGATGCGGCGGCGGCAACCAACACTGCGAACTGGCCAGGCCACTGGAAATGCATGAACCTGTCGTGTTGAATACGAGAGAGTGGCATATGCCTCGTGGACCCGCATGAACTCAAGCCTCGATGCGGCGACGTCCAGGTGCAGGACCCTGGCGAGCCTCCTGTAGGCAGTCGCGATCTCCTACTAAAGTGGCCACAGCAGTCATTTTTGAAGAGTGAATGAAATGCTAAATTGCAGTGATGCATTACTCAGCCCGGGATAACATAATTGATCTGTTGAGAAAGGGAGGATGAACAACTGTAAAGAAACAAACGAGAAAACAGAGGATTTGGTATAATCCCATGCTCTACTTCAGGGCTTTGGCTCAGTGGCTCTAGGAGAGCGTTTCACTTACTGGAGTCATAAATTAGATTACATGACGGGAAAGTTTTTGGGGTCCCAATTTCCGTTTTCATTCAATCTTGGCACATAATGCACAGCAAGAAAGTCTTTGTTCGCTGATCTGAAAGGCATATTTTTCAAATCTGTGGTAGCATCTTTTATCTATGAGACAATCTATGGGAAAAATGTGACCATTAATATAGACGTGTGGCTATGGCCATGACCATTTGGTAGACGATTTACTTTGAATTCGGACGGTTAATTATTCAGGAGGGCACTCTCTTTCATTATTTTGTTATGGAATTATTTGGAATATGAAGATACTTTTGAATATTTCACTGAACATTTTTCTAATCCACTTTGATCTATGTTCTCCATCCAAGACAATGCATAATAGCTTCCAGCCCGCAATTTATTGCTGACTGCAATTTCAAAGATCTTGGTGTTGATTCTTCGGGACATACTTTCATGGCGGATTAATTCTTTAATGTCTTTGGCTGAATGGGTTAAGGTCAATCATCACTTCTAATTCTTCACGAACAAATAAAAGCTGCGCACATGAGAAGATGGAAACGATATTTGTAGAGATCAATGGCACTTGCTTCATTTTTCTATTTTTTGCTTCTTTCATTTTTTAAAGCTGTGTGCTTGACAGATCTCATATTTATCTTTTCAATTCAACGGATATGTAATTGCACCAAGAAATAAGAAGAGAAGACATTGGAAACAAGCCTTCATAAAAGAAATGACATTTCAAGTAGTCTGGTGAAATCTTTATTCACTGAACCTATGTTGCGCAATTTAAAGAGACAATTCGTCAACAGTTTCATTGTCCTGGAAATTTGTTGGCCTTCCGCTTTGGCCTTTCCATCCACTCGGCTGCTCTTCTCTCCAGCATTCCCACACCTCGTGCGAGATATTTGGGCCTTCCTGTTTCAAATGCAATGTATGCTATGGAAATCCCAATTACGATTCCAGATGCATAACCTATCCACACCTCTTTTTGTTTGAACCAACTCTCATGCCCTTCGCGGTCAAAAGGTGACGAGGATGATGATGGAGGAGGTTGAGCATCAATAGGGCATGCTTTTGGTAATGGAATTCCGCATAAGCCGGGATTCCCACTGAACGAGTTGCTTGAAAATGTGCTCAATTGCTTGTCTTGAGGAATTCGACCGGTGAGTTGGTTCTTGGAGAGGTTTAAGTACCCAAGGGATGCCAAATCTCCCAATTTTCTAGGAATTCCCCCATTAAGCTTGTTCGAAGAAAGATCAAGCCATCCAAGATTAGTCAAGTTCCCTAGAGTCAAAGGGATGGAACCTGTAAGATAGTTGCGAGAAAGGTTCAGCCCTATGAGTGAGTGAAGATGTCCAATAACTCCTGGGATATCCCCATGGAAAGAGTTATGCGACAAATCAATGGTGGTGAAGATGGTCAAGATCTTCACTAGCTCCATCTCTTGCCCTTTTATGGTCACGGTGACGGAATTTTCATATGACGCCAATTGGAAAGACCGTGTCATATACAAAGATGTGTCTTGCCTAGTTTCGCCATTCATCATACCTTTAAGGTTCATTATCAAGCTGGCTGGCAAAGGACCGCCAAAGTTGTTGTTGGAGAGGTCCAAAATATGTAACTCGGGAAAGAGGTGAGCTCCATCGGGAATATTCAAAAGATCCTTAAAATTGTTGGACCTCAAAACAAGAACTTTTAGTTCTGGCAATGTTCCCAACCATGTCGGAAACGTATCCTTTATTTGATTGTCACCGAGATCCAAAACTTCCAGATGTTTACATTTGACAAGGGACCGAGGCAATATGCCTTCTAATTGATTTCGACTCAAGTCAAGAGTCGTCAAGTGATTTCTCCAAGAAAATGATTGAGGAATTATGCCTTCAAGATAATTCATTCGCAAGTTTAAAACTGACAAAGTGCTAAAATTGGTTAAGCACTGAGGCAAGCTACCTATCAAGCCATTGTTAGACAAGTCGACGAGCGCAAGCTTGGTGGCATTGCACAACAAAGAAGGGATCTTTCCTGTTATTTTATTACTTGCAATGGAATAATAATATGTGATGGGAGATGGAAGTGGAATCGGCCCTACAAACTTGTTGTTGGACAAATCTATTACGTACATTGAGCTGTTTGAGAAACCCGCTATGGGCCATCGTCCAGTAAAATTGTTATGGGCAATAAATAAAGATTGAAGAGCAGGGAAGGAGAGTTCAAAGGCAACGAGGCTGATCTTACCATGAAATTTATTGGATCGCAAATCAAGGTACTCCAGATGCAGTGCCTCTAGCCAATGTGGGAAGATATCACTGAACTCGTTGTGACTGAGAACTAATTCTGATAAGTGTGCACATTTCACTAGGGAACGCGGTAATGGCCCTTGTAATTTATTGATGCTCAAGTTTAGATACTGGAGATTGCTTATATTACCAAAACATGGTGGCATATTCCCAGAGAGATTATTGTTAGACAAATCTAAATAACTGAGTGAACTCAAATAGCAAATCAAAGAAGGGATCTCGCCAGTGAAACCATTGCGAGAGGCATCGAAGTAAGAAGTAGAAGGTGGAGGGATTGGGAGTGGTCCTTGGAATGAATTGTTTTTAAGGTCAATTTCGGACAATCGCTTCCAATGCAATTGTTGAATACCTCCCTCCAATAGGTTATGAGAAAGATATATTGTTTCCAATGTATCATGGTTTATTTCCCAAAACCACCTCGGGATCTCCCCACAAATTCTATTGTGAGAGAGTGCTAAGTGTGTCAATCTCTTTAACGAATTCAAGAAATAGGGAAACTCTGTCAAGCTGCAAAAAGCTAACCCCAACACTTCAAGTGAAAAGGATGAATAAGAGAGATTTAGAGTCGTTGCTGGAATTGCACTCAAATTAGAGGAAATGTGCGAGTCAGCAAAGCTATTACCGACAAGATTGAGGCTCCGAAGATGGCGAAGGAGAAAGAGAGAGCTAATGGAATGGAGAGTGCCGCAAAGCCAACTGCAAGTAAGGTCGATCTCAATGACGTTACCGGTGACATAGTCGCACGTGACACCATCCCAGGAGCAGCAGTCCATGCCCTTGTTCCATGAGATTGTCTTCGGATAAGAGGTGATCCCAAGATACTCGTCACAACTAAAATGGGATGCCTTGCTATCAAGCACGAAGGAATCCTTAAAATGGAGCAAGGCATCGCGCTGGTCAGGAGGGCAAAGGGGAGAGGCAAAGGGAAGGAAGGAAAGTAAGAAAAAGAGGAAACAGAGGAGGCTGAGGATTTGATGCCACCCCATTTTGCAGTTTAGGACGCGAGTGAGTGCTTCAACTTATATAGGCCTTCTAAAGTGTGAAATCAACGACACAAGTCTTCTCTTGAAGGTCTGTTGGTCGGCATAAGAGCAATTTGATGCCATCCCATTCTGCACTTCAGGACACGAGCGAGTTTATTAGTGGTGGGGATAGGGATTCAACTTCCACTGCCCTTCTAATAAGCCTAGCTATCAAAACAAGTCTTCTCTGAAAAGTACTTTGGTGGGTTACTGCCAGACACATTATATTTCCGAGTGCAATACGGTGTGTGCTCACGAAAAACCATCAATTGGTCTACAATGCCAAGAGCAGAATGTCAAATGAGTAATAGATTCAACAACCCATGGAGTTTCTTTTCTTTTTTTCCGGCTGGGATGGAGTAGTACAAGTAGTTATAAGAGCATTGCAAAAGATTTGAATGCTCCAATAATAAAAGTAAAAGCTCAAACTGTAGGAGATACCGGGAATTACTAAATATGGGGCTTTAGGTGCTCATTCAATGGTCAAAAGAGAGGATTTGATTCATTCTTGCCGGCCAAAATCAATGGAGTGAATGGAGTAAACTTCATCGACTATTTGAATGTCTTTACTGATTAAACCGTCGAACCACCTGCTTGCGATGCTTGCATGTTCACTAGACTCCTGGGAAATTGAAAATCAAAAAGCAAGTCGTTAATGAAAATGCCTGAACGAATGAACCTACATTTTCAATAATTAAGCGTTGGGAAAATATATGGTTGATGAAGATCTGATACCATCTCTGCCTCCAAAAAGTTGTTTATCACGTTATCTCATATTTAGGTGATTAAGAAAAGTTGTTCGTGGTCTAAATCTGTGGTGTTAATAGTAAGCCAGACAGCCAGGACTCAACCTTGCTGTGCGCCTAAAGAAAGGTAGTAGTAACTCCCAAAATTAGTGGAAATGAGATAGTAATGGCTCCATGTTAGACTACATGCTGAAGTTTTTTATACGAAAGAACTGCTCCCACTCCGCACTACTTACTATGTGAAAATTAAACACACGTCTCTCTTTTTCCAAATACGTGCGACTTTGATTTTGAAGTTTGGGTTTCATCCAAAACCTTTTGGCCAGTAAAGGGCAAGGCAAATGGAGTCTCTTGCAAAAAATGATTCATATGCAGTCTGCTGACTAAAGATGCACAAGGCGATTAGGTGGAGGAGGAACTGGAGTTATGCAGCAACATTTTTAAGAAATACGGAGAAGAAGATGATGCAGAAAGTGGTGCGGAATCAAAGAAAGGGATGTATGAATTTACAGGCAATGGTGAGCTCCCACGGAGATTGGTTCTTCTGATATACACTTCAGACAATTTTACGCAAGTCTTTGTATTGTATGAACTGGACTAGATTATTTGACATATTTAACGTATCACAGTAGTCGTATCCTCTGTAATATCGAAGAAGTAATTATCCATTTCAAGCGTGTCTATGAATGCGCCATTCTAACTGATGACAGTAATTTACAGAAGGTAATATATTTCCTTTGTCCCTCCATGTAGTTTCCGTACGTCGCATATTTTTTTTTTTCTTCAGACCAAAATCATCTAAACGTTATGTCATTCTATATACAATACAATTAACCTATTAATTATACGTGGCAACCTTAACTTTTCGTACTAGAATATACAAAAATTACCGTGCATGCACGCATCGTGCTGTGAGGTCTAATGTATCTAATTCGATGTATAAGGTTTCCATGGTTTAGAACACTCGTATAAATTAGCAGCTCTCAATAAAGACGAAGCCAGGATTTTAGAATATGCTTAAAAGATTGGTAACCAGCAAAGTCTGTTTCCAATGATTTTTTTAATAACAACTAAGGAACTAAAGTATCGAATCAATTAAGTACTGGTAAAACTTTCTTCTCTAGGTGATTGGAAAGTGGACTCCTCACACAGCCCATACATGTTGAACTCGTTTCCCTCCAAGAGGATGCAAATGAAACTTTCAGTAGCAGCGGTAGGCAATGCAGACTTTTTTTCAGCAACAAAGTAAAAAACCAGGTAGCCCTTCCTCTTCATCGCGTTCTTGCTCAAAATCTTCTTTCTCCTCCATCATTATCTTCGCCAACCCAAGCCTCCGATACAGATAAAGCTTGCAGCCTGCTGTGGTCACCATCTTTTGTGGCCTCAATCAAAGCATCCATCAACTCGGGTTCAACTTCTCGCAGCTACTTCCCTAACAAATGCAATTCATTAAGGAAGTTTACATTGCATATTATGGACTCGTGAGGCATCAATGAATCATTGACACCTTTCGTGCGTATTTTGTAGAATACAACTAAATAAAACTGCTTTAGCGAAAAGAAAAAAAAAAACCAAGACGCTTGTGTTCCATCTGGAAATGAAAAGTAGTGTTGCAAGCAAAATTTCAGATTTTTCGCACAGCTTGAGCATTCATGTACGCCTTTCCCGAGCACATCATTAGCAGTTACACTCATCTATATTAATATATGCTCAAGGAACTATACTGCAAGTAACATCAAAGCATTTTAAAAGTACAAGCTGACACACTCAAACTCAATCTAAGTGGGAAAAACGGGGGAGTTAGATAATAGCTGCTTATTCCAAGAACTATTTTGCCCAGAAAGAACTCATTGCGCAACAGCCAAGCATAGCAAAGAAGATACCAGGCGAACCGGCAACAAAGGTAAAAAGATTCTCACAAACACACATATACACACTCGCAAAAACATTGAAGAAAACGTGACAGTACCATTGTAATTGAACTGCCTTCGCTTGCCTTCTCGAACATCCGGCCCCAGTCCCTGCGACAAATCAACAAACGTCTCAACGGCATAAACAAGTAACAACTCAGACCAAAAGCCTCACGAGAAATAGCCACGCATTGCAGACTCTTGCTCCAGAGAAGCCACTCTGCAATTCCCCACTTTAGAAAAAGGGATAATGAATCTACAATGCTACACCATTGACATCATCATATCCACGAAGCCGGTAAAAGCTCAAAATCGCGACGCCTCCGAGACACGTCCTTTTTTTCCCAGCAATACCTGAGAGGATGCGCTTGATTCCGTCATCTTCTCGGGGATCGCACGGCGGGGGGCCGGTACTGGACGCCGCGGTGTGCTGAAGGGACCACCGTCTGGAACAGACAAATGGTGAGGATGCGACGTTGTTCCAAACGGCGAAAAAGGTGAGGGAGAGAGGGGGGGAGCAATGAAGGGAAATGGTGGTGGTGCAACCTCGGCCATTGCCGGAGTGGCATGTAAAATAGACTCATCTAATAACTTTGGATTTTACCGGTGAATTTCTTCCGTTATCATTCGCTCTTGCCACCCAATACACAGGCGGATTGTGACCACTAACAAAGGGCAAAAGTACACCAGAAGTGCCATAACTTATGTACGGCGATCACTTTGATGCCATAACTTTTTTTCGGATCACTTTGGTGCCAAGTCGGAGGAAAAGAGATCACTTTAGTGTCAATTTATAGGAAATCCGACGTGCCATTTTTATTAATTTTTTACGCCGACGTGGCTCCTGCCGGAGAGGCTGGTCGATGTGTACGATCGGCATTTTTATTTTAAATAATTTTTTCCAGCGTGTACAATCAGCATTTTTAATTTTAAATATTTTTTTCATTTTTTTTTCCTCTTCTTTCCTTTTTCTTTTCTTTTCTTTTTTTTCTCTACTCCCCTCGCCGGCCGGTTGCCGGTGGCCGGCCGACCACCAGCAAAGCCCGGGAAGGGCTGGGCGAGGGCGGCCTTGCCCATGGCCGGCGAGGGCGGCCTCGCCGGCTACGGGCGAGGCCGCCCCTCGCCGGCGTTAGGCGACCCTCGCCGGCGTCGGGCGAGGAAGCCCTCGCCCGGGCGGGCGAGGGTCGCCCTCACCCGAGTCGGGCGTGGGCGACCCTCGCCCGCCCAGGCGAGGGCTTCCCTCGCCCGACGCCGGCGAGGGCTTCCCTCGCCCGACGCCGGCGAGGGTCGCCCTCGCCCAGCCCTTTCCGGGCTTCACCGGTGGCCGGCCGGCGAGGGGAGAAAAGAAAAAAAAAGAAAAGAAAAGAAAAAGGAAAGAAGAGAAAAAAAAAAAGGAAAAAAATATTTAAAATTAAAAATGCTGACTGTACACGCTGGAAAAAATTATTTAAAATAAAAAATGCTGACTGTACACACTGACTCAGCCTCCGACGAGCCACGTCGGCGTAAAAAATTAATAAAAAATGCCACGTCGGATTTCCGGCCAAATTGGCACTAAAGTGATCTCTTTTCCTCCGACTTGGCACCAAAGTGATCCGAAAAAAAGTTATGGCACCAAAGTGATGGCCGTACACAAGTTATGACACTTCTGGTGTACTTTTGCCGCTAACAAAGACATGCGTGGCCATGGACAAACGAAAGTCACGCACACATGAAGATGGAAAAGATATTTGTAGAGGGGAAATGGCAGTTGCTTCATTTGTCGGTCTTTTACTTCGTCTTTTTTTAAAGCTCTGTGCTTGAGAGATCTCATTATTCATTTTCTCGATTCAACTTAAAAACAATTGCACCGAGAATCAAGACATGCCTTCATAATGGAAATGTCATTTCAAGCTGCTCTGGTGAAATTCTTATTTGTTGAATCAACATTGCACGGTATAAATAGACAACTCCCAAATAATTCATTGTCCATGAAATCTGATGGCCTTTCGCTTTGGTCTTCCAATCCACTTGGCTGCTCTCCTCTCCAGCATTCTCACACCTCGCGCGAGCCATAAGGGCCTTCCCATTTCAAATGCAATGTATGCTGTAGACATCCCAATTACTACTCCAGATGCATAACCTATCCACACTGTTTCGTGTTTGAACCAACTCTCATGCCTTCTGCGATCGAAAGATGATGAGGATGATGATGGAGGAGGCTGAGCATCACCAGGGCATGCTTTTGGCAATGGTGTTCCGCATAAGCCCGGATTCCCACTGAACGAGTCGCTTGAAAATGTGCTAAGTTGCTTGTCTTGAGGAATTCGACCGGTGAGTTGGTTCTTGGAGAGGTTTAAATACCCAAGGGATGCCAAATCTCCCAATGTTGTAGGAATTCCCCCATTAAGCTTGTTCGAAGAAAGATCAAGCCATCCAAGATCAGTCAAGTTCCCTAGAGTCAAAGGGATGGAACCTGTAAGATGGTTGTGAGAAAGGTTCAACCCTATGAGTGAGTGAAGATGTCCAATAACTCCTGGAATATCCCCTTGAAAAGAGTTGTGCGACAAGTCAATTGTTGTGAAGATGGTCAAGATCTTCTTTAGCTCAATCTTTTGCCCTTTCATTATCACAGTCACGGAATTTTCATATGACCCCGATCGTAAATCTTGTGTCATATACAATGATTTGGCTTGCCCATTTTGGCCGTTCATCATGCCTTTAAGGTTCATCATCAAGTTGGCTGGCAAAGGACCGACAAAGTTGTTGTTGGAGAGGTCCAAAATGCGTAACTTGGGAAAGACCCAAGCTTCCCTGGGAATATTCAGAAGATCCTTAAAATTGTTAGACCTCAAAATAAGAACTTTTAGCTCTTGGAGTGTTCCCAACCATCTCGGGAACGTATCCTCTATCCGATTGTCACTAAGATCCAAAACTTCCAGATATTTACACTTGACAAGGGACCGGGGCAATGTGCCTTCAAACCGATTTCGACTCAAGTCAAGAGTCGGCAAGTTACTTCTCAAACAAAATGATCGAGGAATTGTTCCCTCAAGGTTATTCATTTGCAAGTTCAAAACCGAAAGAAAGGGGCTAAAATTTGTCGAGCACCGAGGCAAGCTACCTGTTAAGCTGTTATTAGATAAGTTGATCATCTCAAGCATGGTGGCATTGCATATCAAAGAAGGGATCTTTCCTGTTATGTTATTGCTTGCAATGGAATAATACATTGTATCAGGAGATGGAAGTGGAATTGGCCCTCCAAATTTGTTGTTGGACAAATCTATTACTTTTAATGAGGTGTTGGAGAAAATGTTTGCGGGAAAGATATCACTAAACTTGTTGTGACTTAGATCTAGTGAAAAGCACACACATTTGACTAGCGAGTGTGGTAATGGCCCTTGTAATTTATTGCTGCTCAAGTTTAGAAGCACAAGATTGGTTATATTACCAAAACAAGGGGGTATATTCCCCGAGAGACTATTGTTAGACAAAGCTAATGTGGAGAGTTTGGTTATATTATCAAAACATGGGGGCATATTCCTTGATAAATTATTGTTAGACAAATCTAATATCAAGAGTGAACTCAACCGACAAATCGAGGAGAGAATCTCACCAGTGAAACCATTGTCATTGGCATAAAAGTAACTAGTAGAAGGTGAAGGGATTGGGAGTGGTCCTTGGAATGAGTTTTTCTGAAGGTCAATATACGACGGTCGCTTCCAATGCAATTGGGGTATAGCTCCCTCTAGAAGGTTATCAGAAATATCTAAGTGTTTCAATGTGTCATGGCCTATTCCCCAAAACCACCCCGGGATCTCTCCACTAATCCTATAGGAAGAGAGGTCTAAATTTGTTATTTTTTTTAACGAATTCAAGAAATAGGGGAACTTGGTCAAGTTGCAAGAAGACAACCTCAACACTCGAAGCTTCGGGAGAAGGAGGGAGCTATTCGAGTGGAAATACCCACGAAGCGCACTTCTGGGAAGATCGAGACCTATGACATTACCGGTGACATTGTTGCAAGTGACGCCATCCCACGAGCAACAGTCTGTGTCCTCGTTCCATTCGTGTATCTCTGAATCAGAGGTGTACCCAGCAACATCCACTCCACAAACAAAGTGGAACCAGCCGCCATTACGCACATAGGGACTCTCATGGAGGACGAGGGAATTCTTAAAATGCAGCAAGACATCGCGCTGGTCTGGAGGGCAAAGGGACGAGGCAAACGGAAGGGAAGAATGTAAGAAAAAGAGGAAACAGAGTAGGCCGAGGATTTGATGCCGCCCCATTTTGCAACTAAGCATGCGAGTAAGTTTATTGGTGATGTAGGGTGCTTCAACTTATATATATATATATATAGCCCCTTCTCAAGTCTGAAGTGATCCACACAAGTCTTATCTTAGAAGGCCTGTTGATCTGCTCCAAACATGGGTTAGCTGTTCTGAAAGCTCTGTCGGTCGGATTGTTGACTACGCCATTACCATAGTGATGTCTTATAACTGGATTGTTGCCGGCCAAATTAGACCCACTTGATTAATATTACCGAGAGACTTTGAAAAATATCGGTAAAGTCCCATTCATATTTGCGAAATCACTGAATCTTTTCTTTGGCCTAAACATATGACGACTCCAACGGGTGTTCCCACCTGTAGGAGCTACAACGCCTTGTTTTAATGACCCGGCGGCCGGTCTACCCCTACACCCCATGTCCCTCCATATTGTGTTTTTCTTCTGGGGGGGCCTGGGATATCTCATTATTTTGACATCCCGTATTCCGGATGAAGCATTTTAAGGACATGCTTAAACATATGACGACCCCGTTCCAAAAGTTCTGTTGGTCGGCAGAAGTGTGAAGTGATGCCAACCCATTATTCACTTCAGCATCCGAGTGAGTTTATCGGCGGTGGGGAGAGGGATTCAACTTATATTGCCGAATAAATATTGTAATTCTGAGTGCTTTCGCCGATGGCCACATCGAAAGCGTTCTAGCTTTGTCAAAGATAAACAACTCTTAGGGAAAAAGTCAAAAACAAAAACGGTAGCAAATGGCCTTCCAAATTGACCGGCAAAGGACGATAAAACAGAACTAAATATCACATTTCGAGTGAAAATTTTGCCATGGGAATGGTCTTAGTTAGACCGGACCATGTTTATTTTCACCAACGCTAAAGTCACGTTCGCGGAGGAGCCAAAAAGAAATAAAATGAAATCATCCTTCACTTCCAGTTCAAAAACTATTGTCTTTAATTCGGAATCAAATGGGAAAAGGCGTCTCAATTCGAATCACCCCGAATACATTCCCTCTCGGCAAGAATATGTCTTAATCAAACCTCTCTTTTCGTTCAAATTGCAAGGCAAAAATGTAGAAAGTCGACAGAATCCTTCGTTAGCATCTGAGTTCCGATTGCACATGATTCCGACAATTTTCCTACAAATTCCCCACTTTTTCCTCTTCCTATTTTACTTTTGATAAGGTTCATTCATTTTGATACATGTCACTAACAAAAATAATTGAATTTTTTGGATATCATTACTAATTAAATGGACATGCTATAAAGTGATGATAAAATATCTTTAACACAAGAGTACCTGAGATTAATATTCCTCAAAGTTCAAATTATTGTAGAATTTAAGATAAAGTGATAAAATATCTTTAAGTTTAATAAATTTTTTGTTAAATATTTGGTGGCTACAATTGTGCCAAAAAGTGAAAAAAAAAAAAAAAAGAAGACATAAGCTACATTTGATCATCTGGATTTCTAGTCAAGATAAGACTAGATAGGATGGGATATGAAATTCAAGAATTTTGTTATATTATATCTACTATTTAATGAATCGCAGTAATACAATCAGATATTTTCATATCCTATTAAATCCATTGTTTGGTACGAACTGCATATCAGTGTAAACGAACTTAAAAATGCACAAACGAAGATAGTAAAATATCTCACAATTCACTGCTAAAGAAACCACAAAGACACAAACAGAGATAACCTCCATCAATGAATCCTTAAATACCATAAAATATCTCATTACAGCATTTCAGAGCCTCGCATTCAATTATAATAAGAAATGTAAATAGGTTATAACAATATCGATGAGATAGATCAGCTAAAATTGCCGATCTAGTAAGATTGAGAAAACATAATCATTCACCTTCGTGGTTTCAAAAAGTATAGTGTTTCGACTATCTCGGCTACTTCATTTCCATTTACTTATTTTTTATTATTTTTCCCTCTCTTTTTTATTTATTTTCCTTTTTATTTGTTTTTTATTGCTTTCCATCATTCCTTAATTAATATTTTATTAAATAATAAACTATAGTAGTATACCTAATAAATGTAATAAATATAAATACTATATATATAATATATGTTATAGAATAGGAAAAAATCAAATATATAAATAAAAATAGGAATAAATATTAACGAAAATTGCTGTTATATGTTTTTGTTATTTTGAATTTTCTATTTGTTATATTGAAATTCAAAATAATTTTATTTAATTTTATTAATTTAAAATTTTTGTTATTCGAAAAAAATAAATTTTATATCATGAATATAAAAAAATCCTATTCCCCTTTATCATACTCCCCTATAGGATATTTTTGTCGGAGTTATAACTTGGGAATCTTGATCGTCATTTCCAAGAGCTTTCTTTTGACTTCATAAAGTCCTTGTGAAAAGGCCTGCACAGTTGGCTGGGAGGCGAAGCATTTGATGCTACCAAATTTGGCACTCCATCATAGGAGTGACTTAATTGGTGGTGGGGAGAGCAGCTTCGACGTATAAAGACTTCGAAACACTAAGGCTGCGTTTGGTCATCCGAATTTCTAAACAGAATAGGACTGGATAGGATAGGATAAGAAATCCCGGGATTTCTTCATATCCTATCCATTGTTTGGTGGACTACGGATTAAAGTCGGATAGGATAATTTTTTTTTTTCTATTCACGGGTCCGGAAGAGTCGATGAAGGAAAAAAAGCCGAGAAATTTTTTTGGTGAAAGCACACAATGTGTGGGGATGAAGATGACGGCGAGTGAAGCGTAGGGTTTCTGGAAAAATAGGCATTAGAAATCCTATCCGGATCTATCCCACCTCCCCCCCTCGGATTTTTTTATCCAAGCTATATCCGGTCTATATCCGACCTTATCTTATCCTGGACCACCACCAAACACACGATAGGATAAAACATATCATATTCTGACTTTTATCCGGTCGACCAAACGCAGCCTAAGTGTTCTCTGAAAGGTGTGTTAGTGGGCTCACATAAGGCTTATTTGGCAAGTTGTTAAATAGTAAAAATTTCTACGCTTTTGTTTCCAGAATCAGTTTAGAAACAGAAATCCCTTTATTAAATTTTTTGTGCCCGGGCACAATTTTGCGAAAAATTATTCCCAGAATTAGTTTTGAAACAGAATCAAGAAGCAAAAAAAAGTAGCTTCTTGATTCTGGAACAATTTTTCCATTTCTGATTCTTTTTAGTTTTCTTCCTTTTTGTTGGTTCGTTCTTCTTCTTCTTCTTCCCGGCCTGCCGCCGGCCATCGGCCACAGGCCAAGGTTGGCGAGGGCGGCTTGCAGTCGCAACGACGAGGCCTCGCCCAGCCATGGCGAAATCGAGCCTCGCCCAGCCAAGGCGAGGCCGGCGGTGAGGGCCACGACGCCCTCGCTAGCCCTGGCCTATGGTCGGTCGCCAACACCGGCGACCAGCCATGGCCAAGGAAGGGAAGAAAAAAAAGAAAGAAATATTAAAATATTCAAAATATTATTAAAATATTATTAATAAAAATAAATTTTGTGTAGTTACCAAACGCATTTATGTTCTTTTTCTATTCTAAGAATAGAAATTTTGGGCAGTTACCAAACCCCTTCAAATTCTTAGAAATTATTTTCGGACACAGAATCAAAAAGAATTATTTTTTAGAAGAATTAGTTTCCGAGCACAGAATCGTTGCATGCGCACCCATAGACTTTCAACTTCTTCTCCCATCGTCTCCCACAAGACCAGTTCAACTTGCCATGCGGGTTGGGAGTTGAATCAAGATCCATCTCGATCTATTTTTTTCCTTTTTTTCTTTTTTTTTCTTTTTTTTCCACCCCTTCTTCTTCCTCAAGCCGGTCACCGGGCATTGGCGACCGACCATAGGGGAGGACCTCGCCGGCCTCGCCAGAGCCTCACCGTCTCCGGGCAAGGTCGGCCTCGCCCATCGACTGGCTGAGGAAGAAGAGGAGGGAAAAAATTGAAAAATAAAAACAAAATCAAAAATTATTAAAAATTATTCATGTCAGCGCTAAGTAGGCCGGCCGACGTCCACATCAACACTTTCCAGGCCGGATGGACTCAATTTGCAAGAAGTGAAAATGTTTATGATTCAATTGGCAAAAATGCAAGGACTTTTGTTTCTAAAACAGCGAACAGAAACGCATGTGGGTGAAGGACAAGTACAGAAAGTGCAGTGGGAGTGTGAGAGCGACAGTTCATCCTTAGTGGAGATGGTGTTGGACCGAGAAGAGCCCCCTTGGGCCTTGCGGAATATCTTAATTGAATGCAATGATCTTTTAGCTCAACAAGCTTCAGCGAAATTAAGTCATTGTCCTAGAGAGGCCAACCAAGCAGTAGACTAGGTAGCTAAAGCCCATTGTACAAGAACTCTTCCTCCAAATTGGGTGTCTTCACCCCCCCAGCTCCTTCGGGATATTTTGTTTTCGGATACTTGTTCATTTTCATCATATAGACCTCTTTTTTATGAATGAATGAAAGTACTTCTTATGACCAAAAAAAAAAAATTTTGGCAAAAATGCAATAAGTTTTGGACTTTTTGGACAAATTCAATTTGCGTTGCCGATCGGGAGTTGAATCAAGTTCCATTTTTTTATAGTCCTTAAATATATATTTAAAAAAAAACCAGTAACGTATTGGAAATCATATTTTTACAACGTACCTATTTTTTTATGCCATTAGTATCTGTAATTTTTACAAGCATTTCGCTTGGGTTGTTAATCATTGAATGTAGAAAATACCAATAAAAACACTTGTCGAGTTGGACATCCAAAACGCGGCCTAAAAATTTGAACTTGAGTGCATATCACCCTATCCACTATCGATAATTAAATTCGTTCGTGTGCAATCGAAAGGGGAAAATTCACCCAAAAATATGTGCCTTAATCAAACCTCTCTTCTTGGTTGATGCGAAACAAGTACATAGAAACATCAACACAATCTCGTTAGCATCCAAGTTCCGATTGCTTATGATCCCGACAATTTTCATACAAGGTCCCCCTTTTTTTTCCTTCCTATTTTGCTTTTGATAAGGTGGACATTCATATTGATACATGCCACAAACAAAAATAATTAAATCTTTTTGGTCATGATTTTGACTATAGGCTTCAGCAAAACACTTTCAATGTAAAAAATCTTTCAGAGACATGAGCGCACAAAAAATATATTGATCTTGCTGGTGCAGCAATCTCCGGGGTGATACGCCCAAAAGAGATGGCAACGGCATCGCTCCCTTTCTAATACCCAACCAGAAGAGAGCGCTTGCACCCGCGGAAGAAATGTGAGTGAACACAGAGACCGCGCATGGGAGGCGATTGGCATTAACTATTATCTTTCCAGCTATTGCCTCGGATTGAACCCGGGACTTCCTAAATCTAGCACCCCATCATCAACCCCGGTTCTTGGTTCATGTACAACCATGCATAGTAAAACGACTTAACCGGACCCCAAAAAAAGGAAACTGTAATGTTACAAAATAGATTAGTACGAGAGGTGAGTATCAACTGTGTGATCATATAGTGCTACTATGCAATTGCCTTGCGAGGTTTCGGAGGAAACCGGTAAGGGATTTCTGAGCCCTTAGGAGAGCTATGCTAGCTTCTCTCTCGTTTTCATTAGTAGCAGCTGGCTGTCCTTGAATCGACTGTACATTCCGTACAAGTTTTCGGAGCTCCTATTAGAAGCACAACAAAGCAAAATATTCAGCATAAACATGGAACCTGAAAATAATTGACAATGCGACATAGGAGATGTCAACCACACTAACTACTGGAAATTGGCAAATGCAAAATTCAGCGACAGGCAATATGTTTGTATGTGCACTGAAGATCGATCTAAACGTGGTGAAGTTTGTGCATGTCAGAGTCGGCCCATACATTATGTCGTACAAGTTGGAGGAATGAATTAGCCCGGCCAACTATAGGCTTGTGCAAATGTTGCCTACATTCCATGTATTACGGTGTGTGCTTATGAAAAACCATCAATTGGTGTGTGCTTATGATGTCAAGAGCAGAATGTCAAATGAGTAACAGATTCAGCAACCCATGGAGTTTTTCGTTTCTTTTTATTTCGGCCGGCATGGATTTGTTCAAGTAGTTATAAATGAGCTGCAAGAGATTTGAATGCTCCAATAGTAAAACTAAAAGCTCAAACTATAGGAGATATCTGTCAACTTACTTGCCGGTCAAAATCAATGGTGGGAATGGAGTAAACTTCATTGGTTATTTGAATGTCTTTACTGATTAAACCATCAAACCACCTGCTTGCGATGCTTGCATGTTCACTGTACTCCTGGGAATTGAAGATTGAAAAGCAAGTCATTAATGAGAAACCTGAACAAATGCTAGAGAAGGAAGGTGGACATTATGTAAAACTAAAATTTCATGCATGACCAATGAATCCCATCACTAATGAACCTAAATTGTCAATAAATATAAGCATTGACATATTTTTAGGGTGATGAAGATCTCATACCATCTTTGCCTCCATAAAGTTGTTTATTGTGTATCTCATCTTTAGATATTAAAAAGGTTGTTCATCGTCTAAATCTATGGTATCAATAGTAACCTACAAAGCCAACATTCAAACTTGCTGTGCACCTAAGAAAAGACAGCAGTCACTCTTGAAAAAATTAGAAATGAGATATTAATGGCTCCAAGCTAGAATATATGTCAAATGTTCTCGCTGAAGTTTTTTATACAAAAAAAATTCTCCCACTGTGCACAACTTAGTACGTGACGGTAAACACCTGTATCGCCTGTCCACTAAAAAGCAGCAAGTTTGATTACTAATGTAACCTCTTTTATAAAAATATGCAACTAGGGTTCCCATGGATAACTATTTACTTCCAACTCTCACAACGTACAACCTCGATTTTTGAATTTTGGGTTTCATCCAAAACTTTTTGGTCAGTAAAGGGCAGAGCAAATGGAGTCAGTTGCAAAAAGACTCGTATAGAGTCTGCTGACTGAAGTTAATCCAGGCAATCAGGGAAGACGACGAACATCGTGCAAGATGGAGGAGGAAATGGACTTGATGCAGCTTTCACATCCAGTATAATTTTGAAGAAATACACAGAAGAAGATAAAGATGCAGAAAAGGACAAAGAAAGTGGTGTGGAATCAAAGAAAGGGATGTATGAATTTACAGGCAATGATGAGCTCCCACAAAGATTGGTTCTTCTGATAAACACTTATTTTTAGACAATTTCATGTGGTTCTTTGAATTATGGGATAATGACACAAATGGTCCCTGAACTTTGGTTCAATGCGCAATGTAGTCCCTGAACTTTTAATTTGTTCAATGTAGTCCTGAACTTTAGCACGATGTGCAATGTGATCCCTGAACTTTTAATTTATTCAATATAGTCCCTGGACTTTTGGTACATGTTCAACTTAGTCCCTGATCTTGAATTAATTAAAGGACAATATTTAACATATTCATATAGTTCAGGGACTAAGTTGAACATGTACCAAAAGTCTAGGGACCACACTGAACAAATTAAAAGTTCAAGGCCCACATTGCAAATTGAGCTATAGTTCAAGAATCACATTAAACAAATTAAAAATTCAGGGACCACATTCCACATTGAACCAAATTCAGGGATCATTTGTGTCATTTTCCTTGGATTACATGAACCAGACCAGATTATTTGGCATATTTAATGTATCAAATTAATCGTATCCTCTACAATATCGAAAGAGTAAAGTAATTATCCATCGCTAGCATGTCTATGAATGTGTAATTCTAAGTGATGATAGTATTTCACAGAAGATAACCAATGTCCTTTCTCCCTCCAAGTAGTTTCCTACATTGCATATTTGTTTTTCTTAAGACTGAAATCATTTAAATGTTGGGTCATTCTGAATATAACAAAACTTAACCTATTAATAATGTGTGGTAATCTTCACTTTTCTTACTTGAATACACAAAAACTATTGCGCGCACGCACGGATCATGTTGTGAGATCTAATGTATCTAATTCGATGTATAAGGTTTCCATGACTTAGGACACCTGTAGAAATTAGCAGCTCTCAGTAAATACAGAGCCTGGAGGTCTATCCTTAATAGATTTGTACCAGCATCGTCTGCTTCCAATGATTTTACAGTAAAAACTAAGGAACTAAATATCGAATCAATTAAGTTTAGGTAAAACTTTCTTCTCTAGGTGATTGGGAAGTGGATTCCTCACACTTCTACATGTTGAACCCATTTTATTCTAAAAGGATGCAAATGAAACTTTAAATAGCAGCAATACGCAATGCAGATATTTTTTTAAAGCGACAAATTTAAACCCCATGTACCTCCTCCTCTTCCTCGTCTTCTTCTCCAAAATCTTCTTCTCCTTCATCATCATCTTCACCAACACAAGCCTCCGAGACAGATAAAGCTTGCAGCCTACTGTGGTCACCATCTTTAGTAGCCTCAATTAAAGCATCCATTAACTCAGGTTCAACTTCTCGCAGCAACTTCCCTAACAAATAGGATTTATTAAGGAAGTTGACATTGCATACTATGGACTCATGAGGCATCAATGAATTAGAGAATCAACACCTCTCGTTCCTATTCTGTAGAATACAACTAAATAAAACTGAACGCGAAAAAAACCAAAGACGCTTAAGTTCCATCTGCAAATGAAAAAAAGTGTTCAGCAAGCAAAATTTCAGATTTTTGGCACAGCTTGAGCAATTCATCTACGCCTGTCTCAAGCGCATCATTAGCAGTTACTTATCTCTCATCAATATATGCTCAAGGAACTATACTGCAAGTACCATCCAAGCATTTCAAAAGTACAAGCAGACAAACTCAAACACAATCTTTGAAGGGGTGGGGGCGTTTGGGTGTGGAAAAGAGCTTCTTATTCCAAGAACTATTTTTTTTTTCCAGCAAGAACTCATTGTGCAATGGCCAAGCATAGCAAAGAAGATTCTCACAAACACACGCATACGCACTCGTAAAAACATTGAAGAAAATGTAATGGTACCGATGTAATTGAACTGCCTTCGCTTTCCTTCTCGAACATCCGGTCCCAGTCTCTGCGACAAATCAACAAACATCTCAACTGCATGGACAACTAAAAAAACTCAGACCAAAAGCCTCACGAGAAACAGCCGCGCATCGCAGAAGCATCACCTTTGCAATCATCAGAGCGTCCAGCACCTCTTTCTCCAGAGAAGCCACTCTGCAATTTCCCATTACAAGAAAGAAAGAATCAACCTACAATGCTACACTATCGACATCGCTATGTCCACGAAGCCCGTAAAAGCTCAAAATCGCGACGCCTCGTGGACACATTTTTCTTCCCCCAGTAGTACCTGAGGATGCGCATGATTTGGGGATTGGAGAAGGAAGCGAGCTCCATGCCCCAGCGGACGGCCCGCCGCGCCTCGCGCTTCTTCTGGTTGCGGCTCTTCTCGGAGTCGGAGTCGCTGCCGTCACCTTCTCGGGGGTCGTAAGCCGGTGCGGAGTTGGGGAATCGGAGCCCGCGCGGCCGGTAATGGACTTCGCGGCGGGACGAAGGGACCAAAATAAAAACCAGACTGTGGCGAGGATGAAGATGATGATGATGCGACGTTGTTCCAAAGCGCGAAAGAGATGAGGGGTAGGGGGAGAGAGGAAGGCCGTGGTGGCGGTGGAACCTCGGCCATTGCCGGAGCGGGCGGACGAGGTGAGCCATCGTCTGGTGCTCTCAGCCTCACCAGCTTCTTTGTCGCTGGAGCTAAATGATCGAGCTGAATGTATCATTGGCCCAAAAATAGCCCACATGAAGTTCTGGGCTTCAAGCATCTACGAACATCATCATGACTAAATTTTGGGTCGTGATCGGTGCTGGATTCAAACCCAACAATCCCCGAGGGGTCAAAGCGCCGCCGCTCATCATCGTCAACGCCCGCCACTTGTTTAATCATCATATGCTCATGAGTACCCTGATGACGAAATTCGCGAGCTTTTTTTCCCGAGGACTCCTGTTTCGGCGTTGAAGAACGCCGCGCTGGAAACGTGAAGCGATTGGCTGTGCCTGGGCTTGATAGGTCAATGCCGCAAAACCCGTCCAAACCCCGCTTTTTGACTTTTGGAGAGTATGAAATGTCCGGCGACATGGGTTTCTTCTTTGTACTTGCTGACTGCCTACGATGGTTCTCGAATGGCCTAAAACCCTAACCCGAATCCCGAGGACCACGAGGAGTTGGCAGTCTGATTTTTTAACTTCATTTGCTCGACAAATCTGGAGTCCAAGGTAACAAAGCAAGCGCTCTGGCATACCCATTTTTCCTGAATCTGACTTATAATCTCGGGAATCTGCGAACTCTATGCACAAGAACAGGTGATTGGGGTGAAAATTGATTTTCACAGCAACATGGATTGGCCATGTTTTCATCTAAAACTAGGAAATCGCGGACTGCAATTGGATCCCAATTCAATTGGACGAAGGAATTACAGAAGAAGAAAATTCAGACATGAAGGGAACACATTGCATTGTATTAAGATACCAGGCTGTCAAAAAAGAGCGCCTGCTCCTCACATCTGATACAAAATCTCGTCTGTGAATATATATATGTACACACACACACACACAGATTACTCATTCCTAACACTTCAAAAGAGCACTAAAAGCCCCAATTAATCTTTCGTCAGGGATCAGAAATGGAGCCACTTAAAATGCAGGCCACCATATCGCCCAACAAACTGGGTCTTCTCAACTGATCTCTAACGCTAACTCGTGGGTCCTCCTTAGCTACCAGCACTGATCCGTCTCCCATCTCCGGCTCGGGCCACGCGCCGCTGCGGCGGCGGCGACGGCCGACACCGCGAACCGGCCAGGCCCCTGGAACAGGGTCCGGTCGTAGTCGGCCCGCCGGTCTGGATCCGAGAGGGTGGCGTACGCCTCGTGGACCCGCATGAACTCGCGCCCCGCCGCCGCCGCCCCCGCGGCGCCGGCGGAGGTCGCGGCGACGTCCGGGTGCAGGACCCTGGCGAGCCTCCGGTAGGCGGACTTGATCTCCTGGCCCGTGGCGCCGGCCCGGATCCCCAGCACCTCGTACAGCGAGGGCGACTGGGACCGGGCCCCGGCGGCCACCGCCCTCGGCCTCGGCCTCGGCCTCTCGGCGGTCGACGTCGCGCAGGAGGCGGAGACTCGGAGCGGGCGGCACCGGGCGGCGGACGGCGGGGGCGCGGGGGAGCCGCGGCGGGACGGGAGGGCGGGACCGGAGGGGACGGCGGACAGAGAGAGGGACGCGGACGCCATTGGCAAACTTCGTCAACGTTGGATTTGATCTTGTTGTTCTGCTGCAGAGTCGAGAGCTCGATGGTTGAGTCCTGAGTGGTGAGCTGCGGTTAAGGAAAGTTCGCCTGGAGTTGGGGCTTTATTGGGAGATTGGGGCGGGGGGCGGGAGTTAACCGTGGTTAGTTGGGGGGTGGGTTAAGGGCCGAGGCTTATCCGCATCTGAGGATGACTCAGCGAAACGTCGGTGTGCCCATAGAATCTATCTCTCGCTCTCTCCGCCCACGCACATGGTGTTTGGGGATAAGAAGGCTCGGACAATCTGGGGCTTCGTTGTCTGCCGTCTGAGTTGGACAGATTTAAAGGAAAATCAGGAAACGGAAACGACCGTTTCATCGCACCGGTTCGGAAAATACGGCGCGTTTCGCGACTTGCAAATTTTCGGAACGTTTTCTTTAAATTGGAAAAGGAAAAGACACTTGATGCTGCCCCCGTTTAATATATCTCGGGTGAAACTGAGAATGGCAGAGTAAGGGGTAATTTATCTCGGGTGAAACTGATTTCGAAGGAGAATGCAATTTACTTATAAAATGGAAATGCGCTTCCTGACTTAGGAGAGCACGACCAAAACTGTTTTTAAGAATTCGTTTTCACATCGAAATGTTTATTCAAGGGACCGCAAACGAAACTAAGAACCGAAACTTTATTGACTTGAACTAATATATGAATTTGCGTATGATACGTTGTCGATCATGATCATGATCATGTGTTTCGATGTGTTTTTTTTCTTTTTTTGGGATGTGCTTTTCGAGTGGATTTGCGTGTTCCGACTTGGGGGCCCAACGTGGGTGGATCCACGTCGAGCTGGGGGAACGCGTGAAGAAGCGAATTTTTGAGTTTCGTCGAATGAGGCCGACGATGAGTTCGATAGCGTTGTCAAGTTGACTCCTCTTCTGGCCACTTCATTGATGACGTAGCACGAAGTTTCCAAAAGGAGGAGATCGAAGCATTTTAGTCGAACAGATGAACGGCTCTTTGATCTTCTGTCCTGTACGCTTTGATTCAACGTGGTTCGGGTCAAACCGTATTATTGCAGAGGGGGGCGTCAAGCCAAGCGGCCTTTGCGGCGTTCGCTCTTTGATTCCTCCATGCCCTCTTCCCACTTCCCACATTCCCTGCTCGGTTTGGACTTACAATAATTCGGAGATTACAGAAAATAATATGATTTATATCATGCGGCGAGTTGACCGCCTACAAGTTTTATTGTTTCGGCGAGAAATAGTTATTTCGACTTTATCCGTTCGCATATGCGACGTGGTGCGCGTTTGTGTGGTGTTTTCGTGTGAGGATCGGGTTGATTTTGTTAGTATAAACCTGGCAAAACTATACATCCGATCGATAGAGGTTAAGCAGAGGATATGAAAGAAAGGATTCGAATAATTATAAGAGAAGAACGAAAGTAGAGGGATGAAATGATCATGGTCGGATGCCCACGAGAGGGAAAAATAGTGGGCATGCATTTGGAATGAACTCCGTTTTTTTTTTTGGACTATATTTTCTCCAACACCACACTTTTCTGATTGGAGAATTACATATCGCAGATATCACTCGCGTGCAAAATTTTATTAAAAGACATTTTGGGTGATAGATATTGTTGTAACCGATCCATCGGAAAAAAGAAAAGAAAAAGAAGAAATATTTATAAAAAAATTCAAAATTTTATTCAAAAAATGTTCACATCGGCATCAGTCATGCCACGAAGGACGGTTGGCGTCTGCATTAACGATTTTCCGGCTAAAATTGGCAGGATGGACTTAATTGGCAAAATGTGAAAAAAAAAATTTAACACTTAATTGGCACAATTGAAATGTTAATAACTGAATTGGCACAGATATAATAGGTTTATGATTTTTTTGGTAATTATCCCCCAAAAGATTGAGTTGGGGACAAGAACACTTATTAACCAAACACATGGATCTGTCCACCCAAAAAATGGAGTTATTTATATTCGTCGTATGGGATCATGTCGTGTGCATCGACTACACATAAGCTTGTCCCCCAAGCACTTAGCAACTTCATGGTAAAACAAATACATAGTTTTCCAGTTTATATTAATTGGCAATTCCTATGATATTATAATTGGTTGAAAATATATGGATTAATACCACCAAAATCCTTAAATTGGTACACATATGACAAATTCATCAAAAACTAATTTTTTTAATAACAAAAAACCTCTAAACCGGTACGTTTATGATAAATTTTTCCTCCCTAGTTTCCATTGAATTGTATAAATATTATGAAAATCACAAACCCGTACACTTATGACAAACGAAAGGTAAACCCTAAACTGGCACACCCATTAACTGACACATGTCATCAAACTAAGCAATTTGACAATAAAATTTAATGGAAATTAATAATTGGTAGATTTGTTATCAGGTGCGCCAGTTTGAAATTTTTCAGATAAATTTGTTATATAGTTTGGAGTTTGTAGTGGTATTAATCTAAAATATATACTTGAGGTGAAAGTTCGGGTTCATGTATACAATGGTATAAAGTTGAGGGTTCAGAAAATAATGATTTCTTTTTCTTTTCTTCTTTTGTCAAATAGCAGTGACGATTTGAACTGCTCGGTTTTGTTTACAACTTTCAAGAACTGGGGTCGGGTCAGGTCGGCTGATGTAGCTGCGTTGTTTGTTTTTCACCCTTGGATCTGCACTCCTGTTCACCTTTGGCCCCAACAAATAATAAATTCACTAATTCATGGGAAAACAGGAACCGCAATAGGAAAAAGGGCGATTCTCCCCGCTTGGGACACTCGTGCGATGGCAGATACAGGGGACACGTGTCGAGCCGCGGTGCATTGGGCGGTGGGTTCCTGCTTCCATTTCGAGGCGGACTAATGCACGAGGGAATCTTTCCGCTTCTTTCATTTTTTATTACCCAGGCTTTTCAGTTTACGTCCACCAATAGCATCCTTCCACGTGTACCGCCACAGCAGTCGCAGCACTAACTAAATATACGTTAACGTTCAAGGCTGTTCATTGGTCATCAGCAGCAGGTTTTTCGTTAAACTGTGTGTACAACATTCGTTAACCTAATTTGAGCCCGAAAAACGTCACGCTTGGCCTGAAAATTCGAACATAAAGGGAAACACATTGCATTGTATCGAGATTTCAGGCCGTCAATAAAGAGCGCCTGCTCCTCACATCTGATACAAAATCTCGTCCGTGAGTATATATACACACTCACACATGCAGATTACGCATTCCTAACACTTCAAAAAGGGTACTAAAAACCCTAATTATTCTTCGTCGGGGATCAGAAATGGAGCCACTTAAAATGCAGGCCACCATACCATATCGCCCGACAAACTGGATCTTATCCACTGATCTCTAACGCTAACTCGTGGGTCCTCCTTAGCTACCAGCACTGATCCGTCTCCCAGTTCCGGCTCGGCCCACGCGCCGAAGCCGCCGCGGCGACGACCGACACCGCGAACCGGCCGGCCCCCTGGAACAGGGTCCGGTCGTAGTCCGCACGCCGGTCTGGATCCGAGAGGGTGGCGTACGCCTCGTGGACCCGCATGAACTCGCGCCCCGCCCCCGCCCCGGCCGCGACGTCCGGGTGCAGGACCCTGGCGAGCCTCCGGTAGGCGGTCTTGATCTCCTGGCCCGTGGCACCGGGCCGGATCCCCAGCACCTCGTACAGCGAGGACGGCTGGGAGCGGGCCCCGGCCGCCACCTGCCTCGGCGCCGGCCTCTCGGCGGTCGACGTCGCGCAGGAGGCGGAGACTCGGAGCGGGCGGCACCGGACGGCGGACGGCGAGGGCGCGGGGGAGCCGCGGCGGGAGGGGAGCGCGGGACTGGAGGGGACGGCGGACAGAGAGAGGGACGCGGACGCCATTGGCAACTTCGTCAACGTTGGATTTGATCTTGTTGTTCTGCTGCAGAGTCGAGAGCTTGACAGTGGGAGTTCTGAGTTGCGTGCTGCGGTTAAGGAAAGTTCGATTGGAGTTGGAACTTTATAGGGAGATCGGGCGTGGGGGGGAGTTAACCGTGGTTAGTTGGGGGGTGGGTTAAGGAGGAGGAAGAGGGAGGGACTAAGGCTTATCCGGATCCGAGGATGACTCAGCGCCACGTCGGTGTTTTCTCTCTCTCTCTCTCTGTCTGCCCCGCGCCGCGCACATGGTGGGGATAAGACTCTGACGATCATCTCTCCGAGTTGGACAAATTTAAGTAAAAGTAGGGAAGAAACGACGAATTCATTGCACCGATTCGGAAAATAGGGTGCGCTTCGTGAATTGCAAATTTTCGGATTTCGTTTTTCCTTTCTCGAAAATTTGTAAAAAAAAAAAAATTAGATGCTGCCCATTTAATAGATCTCGAGTTTCGACCCGAAAGAAAATTAGTTCTCGAGCGAAACTGAAAATGGGAAACCGAGGGGCTTTTCGGTACGAAAAATAGATCGCGAAATTATTATTCCAGAGGAAAATGCAACATACTTATAAGATGGGAACGCACTTTTTTAGACGTCAGAATAGTACGAGCAGATATTTTTGTTGAGGGAGCTTGTCCACATCGGAACGTTTACTCGCGGGACCGCAAAAGAAATTAAAAAAACCGAAACTTTCTCGGCTTCGGCTAATATTCGAATTCGCATTTGATACGGTGTCGTTCACTTTTTGAGTGTCCTTTCCGAGGGAAATTGCGCGTTCCGACTCGGATAATACTCACGTGGTGGGGGCCCGATGTGGGGTGGATCCACGTCGACCAGGGGGAACGCGTAAGGAAGCGAATTTTTGAGTTTCGCTCGAACGAGGCCGACGATGAGTTCGATAGCGTTGTCAAGTTGACTCCCCTTCCGGCCACTTCATCGATGACGTAGCACGAAGTTTCCAAAAGGAGGAGATCGAAGCATTTAGTCGAACACATGAACGGCTCTTGATCTTATTCTGTACGCTTTGATGATATGAGGTTCAGGTCAAACTGTATTATTGAGGGGCTTCGAGTCGCCTTTGCGGCTTTTGCTCTTTGATTCCTCCATGCGCCTTCCCACATTCTCTCCCTGGTTTGACCTAGAATAATTTAGAGATTAAAGAAAATAATATGATTTAATATATCTGCGACG